TCGATTGGCTAAAAGCCAGAGATAAAGAAGCTATTCTATTGGTTAATAGTTTACACATGATTATTTTTAAATTAAGAGTATACACATGATTATTTTAAACGTTAAAATAAAATATTAATTCCAGTCAGCATTATTTTAATTTCGAGAATAAAAATTAAATTATTTATTTATTTTTTATTATTTTTTGTTCTTATTTACATTATTTTTTTATGATATGACTATAATTTTATTTTTATTTTTAATCCCGTATAGATATAATTCGAGATATTCCAGTTTTCCACGTTTAATGTCTCACTCTATGAATTATGTAATACATCTATATAATAATACACAGTGGTATTACACAAAGAAATAAACAGGCATTTCGATTGGCTAAAAGCCAGAGATAAAGAAGCTATTCTATTGGTTAATAGTTTACACATGATTATTTTTAAATTAAGAATATACACATGATTATTTTAAACGTTAAAATAAAATATTAATTCTGGTCAGCATTATTTTAATTCCGAGAATAAAAATTAAATTATTTATTTATTTTTTATTATTTTTTGTTCTTATTTACATTATTTTTTTATGACATGACTATAATTTTATTTTTATTTTTAATCCCGTATAGATATAATTCGAGATATTCCAGTTTCCCACATTTAATGTCTCACTTTATGAATTATGTAATACATCTATATAATAATACACAGTGGTATTACACAGAGAGATAAACAGGCATTTCAATTAGCTAAAAGCCAGAGATAAAGAAGTTATTCTATTGGTTAATAGTTTACACATAATTATTTTTAAATTAAGAGTATACACATGATTATTTTAAATGTTAAAATAAAATATTAATTCCGGCCAGTATTATTTTAATTTCGAGAATAAAAATTAAATTATTTATTTATTTTTTATTATTTTTTGCTCTTATTTACATTATTTTTTTATGACATGACTATAATTTTATTTTTATTTTTAATCCCGTATAGATATAATTCGAGATATTCCAGTTTCCTATGTTTAATGTCTCACTCTATAAATTATGTAATACACGATCATCTACATGTAACATAAAATATTATTTTAATTTCGAATTATTAATAAAAATTGAATTAATTAATTATTTTTTATTATTTTTTGTTCTTATTTTACATGATTTTTTTTTAAGATGTGACTATGTAATTATTTGTTTTATTTTTTATAGATGATAATCCCGTATAGAGATATTCTAGTTTCCCACGTTTAATGTCTCACGTTTAACTCACTCTATGAATTACGTAATACACATATAAAATACACAAAAAAAAAAATTTCAATCATGTACATGATAGATATAATTCGAAATATTCCTATTTCTTATCTATAAATACGTTTGATGTCTCATGATTCTATAAATTATGTCATACGTACATATGAAATCTATAATTAATTTTTTTTATTTTTCTGAGATATTCCTGTATAGATATAATTCAATCCTGTTTCTCATCTACAATTACGTTTAATATTGATATTCTATGAATTATATAATACACATATATGAAATACACCAAAATTTTAATACATGTATATAAAATAAAAAAAGAATTTCGATCGTATACATAATATGTAGCTTAAAAATTAAATTATTGATGTAATAAACCCGATCTAATATAGTTTAATAAATAATATAGTTTGATAAATAATAATTTAATAAATAATTAATTATCAAATAATAAATAATAAAAAAAACATATTTATTCCTTGACAAGCTTACCATTATTGATGTACAAATCCAATCTACCGATTAATGACTAACTTTAAATAATAATAAAATAATGTTAATAATGATGATGATAATAAATAATTATAAATATTCGAAGGAACTTGAATGACATGTGTACTGTAATTGATACACGAAATTTAAAAATGAATTATTTAATACGCGTACCATACTTATACACAAATTTTAAAAATTAACTTGATACATGAAACTTAAGCTAAAACCTATTATATAAATCTATAATTATAACTTATATAACTTTCTTTATATATATCTTAGATAAATTTAATTCCAAATCATAGAAAAATAGCTCAACAACAAAGAAGAGCTAGAGAAAAAGAAAATGAGTTCACATTAGAAATACAAAACTTAATTAAAACAAATTCACAACTAAGAAAGAGTAGTAATATCTTACCTCCAAATTGTAGAGAGATTGCTTAACAAAAAAGAAGAGCTCAAGAACGTGCAACACGTGAACCTTTAACCAAGTTAAATCCTGAACAAATAACACAATCAAAAAAGAGAGCAAGAGAACAAACTGAAACAGTACAACATAATCTAGGTGATATGAATGTTGAATGTATCTATTGTGGTGCACTTCATTGGCTTGATGAATGACTTACTTCTTCTTCTAAAATTCATCCAAAATTTGGTATATGCTGTTTACAAGGTAAAGTTGTATTATCAATTCTTCAAGATCCTCCACCTTTTTTACAACAACTTTTTGAAAATCAGGATGAATGTTCCAAAGAATTTCGACATAATATTTGACAATATAATGCAGCTCATGCTTTTACTTCTCTTGAAGTAAATATTAATAAATCTATTCTTAATGATCATGGACCATACAGTTTTCGTGTTAATGGAGAATTATGTCATTATATGGGTTCTCTTCTTCCAGAATTAAATAATAAAGCTATATATGCTCAACTTTATATTCATGATTCAGATCTAGCTCATAATATAAGAATGGAAAATAATAAAACTTTAAATGTAGATACAATGTGGAAAATACAAGAACTTTTATATGAAAATCATACCTTTTATCCTTTATATAAGCAAGCACATGAAATACTTCAACAAGCTGAAGAAAAAGGAGAAACATCAAAAGATCTAACAGCCTATCTTCATTTTAGAAAATCAACTGATAAACGTTGTTACAACCTTCCAACTGCAAATGAAATTGCTATAATTTTACCTGGTGATGGATTAGCACCTGAAGCAATGTGAAATATTATCCTTAGACTTCGTACAGGTTCACTTCAACGAATTCATGAAGGACATCCAGCATATTTACCACTTCATTACGTTTTACTTTTTACATATGGTGAACTTGGATGGCATTCTGAAATGAATCATACTTTAGTAAATTCAATGGGACAAATTTCAAATAATCAAGATGATAGTTCACGACTTACTCAAAAAGATTTTTATTCTTTTCGTCTTTTTCCACGTCACAATGAATTTTCAACTATTCTTCATGGTAAAAAATTACTTCAAGAATTTATGGTTGATGTATGGGTTGCAACTGAACAAAATAGATTAAGATTTTTAAGAATGAATCAAAATACTTTACGTGCAGATGTCTATTAAGGACTTACAGATGTAATTGGAAATATTGCAAATAATGAATTATCTCTTAATAATCTTGGACGACGAATTATTCTTCCCTCTACTCATATTGAAAGTGCATATCAAATGTTTAAAATATTTCAAGATTCAATGGCAATTACCCGATATCATCATCATCCTGATATTTTTGGAACAATGACAACAAATCCAAGTTGGCCTGAAATAATTAATGCATTATTACCAGGTCAAACTTCTGCAGATCGACCAGATTTAATAGCTCGCATATTCAATTTAAAAAGTTGTGCACTTCTTAATGATATCAAAAAAAAAATATTCTTGGTAAAGCAGTTGCATATGTATATACAATTAAATTTCAAAAACGTGACTTACCACATATACACTTTTTGATTTTTCTTCATAGTGATAACAAGATAAAAGAACCTGACGATGTTGATAATTTGGTATCTGCTGAATTTCCCAATCAAGAAACTGATCCTGATCTCTTTGAAATTATTTCAAAATATATGGTTCATGGACCTTGCGGCTATCGCAATTCACAAGCACCATGTATGATAAATGGAAAATGTGAAAAAAATTATTCAAAAATATTTCAAAATAAAACTTCAATAGATACTGATGGGTATCCACTTTATGCAAGAAAAAATGATGGTCGAATATATAAAATTCGTGGAAAAGATGTTGATAATCGGAATATTGTACCATATAATCCTAATTTTAGTAGAAAATATAATTGTCATATTAATATTGAAGTTTGTGCATCTGTACGTGCAGTTAAATATATTCATAAATATATTTATAAAGGTCATGATCGAACAACAATGCAATTTGGACATGAACCTGATGAAATTTAACAATATATTGATGCAAGATATATTGGTGCATCAGAAGCTGCATGGCGTCTTTTTGGAATGAAAATGCATGAAGAAGTTCCAAATGTTGTAAGATTAGCATTACATCTTCCTGGAATGCATTTAGTTGTATTTGATCCTTCTGATAATGTATCTACTATTTTATCCTGTGCTGATCGTCAAAAAATAACTCTTACTGCTTTTTTTGAAGCATGTTCAACATTTGAATTTGCTTGAAATTATACATACCAAGAATTTCCACAGTATTTTGTTTGGAACAAATCTACTAAAAAGTGGACACCTAGAAAACAAGGATTTGCAATTGGAAGATTATATTTTGCTAATCCTTCAGCAGGAGAACGATATTATCTTCGACTTCTTCTTACTGTTGTACATGGTCCACAATCTTTTGAACATTTAAGAACTGTTAATAATATTATTCATCCAACATTCAAAAGTACATGCTTAGCTCTAGGACTTTTAGAAGATGATAAAGAATGGATTCAATGTCTTGAAGAAGCTTCCATTATACATAGTGAATATCGATTAAGAAATCTTTTTAGTATTATACTTACTCAATGTATTCCTACACATCCAGAAGAATTATGGTTACGCTTTCGTATAAATCTTTGTGATGATCTAAAATATAAATTACAAATAGAATATGCTATTAGTGAACTAACTGAAAATCAAATTTTTGATTTTGGATTATTTCTTTTGAATAAAATTCTTAATCAATATCATAAATCTCTTAAAATGTTTTCATCTATGCCTTCTTGAGAATATAATTGGGAAAATTATAGTAATAATAACTATATTACAGAACAATTGGTATGGGACTATCAAAAACTTCAAAATATTGTTAATAACCAAATACCACAATTAAATAATGAACAATTAATAGCTTATAATAATATTATACCTCTATTGATGAATGTCAAGGCAAAATATTCTTTCTCAATGGACCTGCAGGAACAGGTAAAACTTTTGTATATAATACCATTGCAATGAAAATTAGAAGCCAAAGAAAAATTGTTCTATGTGTAGCATCTTTAGGAATTGCAGCTCTTTTACTTGATCTTGACTGTACTGCTCATTCAATGTTCAAAATTCCATTAAATATTAATGAAAATTCAATATGTGCAATTGATAAAAATTCAAAAGAAGCTGATTTAATACGTCAAATATCACTTATAATTTGGGATGAGGTACCAATGCAACATTGTTATTGTGCTGAAACAGTTGACTGGTCTTTACAAGATATTTGTAATGATGAACATCCATTTGGTGAAATAACAATAGTATTTGGAGGAGATTTTTGACAAATATTACCTGTTATTGTAAAAGGATCAAGAGAAGAAATTATAGCAGCATCACTTAAAAAATCATATTTATGACAAAATATTGAAATACTTATCTTAAAAAAAAATATGCGCCTTGACAATGAATCGGAAGAAAATAAACAATTTGCTAATTGGCTTTTAGAGGTAAATATATTTTATCATAATAAATTTATTAACATAATTATTTACTATTTATTGTTTTTAGGTTGGAAATGGTACAAATACTATAGATGATAAAATATTACTTCCAGAAAATATTAAATTATTACCTCAAAATTTGAAATCACTCATTAATACCATATATCCTGAAATTAATATAGCTGGAATATGTGATAACAAATATTTTAGTGAACGAACTATTCTTTCTTCCCGAAATGAAGATATAGATTATATTAATCAAGAGGTTCTTAATATATATTCAGGAAATCAACATACTTACATGAGTGCTGATAGTGCTGTAATAGAAGAAGGTGTTGATAATAATAATGTTTATTTTATAGAATTTCTTAATTCCCTTAATCCCAATGGAATTCCACTTGCAAAACTTAATTTAAAAGTGGGTATTCCAATAATACTTCTTAGAAATCTTGCTCTGGGACAAGGTCTGTGTAATAGAATACGATTAATAATAACACAAATGACCAATTGTGTTATTGAAGCACAAATACTATGTAGTGATCATGTTGGAGAATTAACATTCATACCTCAAATTACCTTAATACCTTCAACATCTGAATTACCTTTTATTTTCAAAAGGAGACAATTTCCTATTCGTGTTGCTTTTGTAATAACAATAAATAAGGCACAAGAACAATCAGTAAAGAATGTTGGCTTAGATCTACGAACACCAGTATTTTCCTACGGTCAACTCTATGTTGCTCTTTCGCACAGTATTTCACCATATAATATTAAAGTTCTTTTACCTTACAATAATGTTGATACAACAACAACAAATGTAGTATATCCAGAAATACTTTTAGGAACTTAAACCTACACGATTTGTAATAGTTAGAACCATCTTCATGATATATAAAAAATTAAATAAAAAATTAATTTTATCATAATAAACAACTATACCTTTATAAATTAATTAAATTTATATAATAATATAACGTATCTTAATTTAGATCGTACCTAAGAATCGTTAAATTAAAAATCGAAATTAATAAATTATATATCATATCTTAATTTAGATCATAACTTCATGATATATAAAAAAATTAAATAAAAAATTAATTTTATTATTATAAACAACTATACCTTCATAAATTAATTAAATCTATATAATAATATATTGTATCTTAATTTAGATCGTATCTGAGAATTGTTAAATCGAAAATCAAAATTAATAAATTATATATCATATCTTAATTTAGATTGTAACTGCAATTAATAAATTATAAAATAATATATCATTGATTGTACCTGCAAACCGTTAAATTATTAATTGCAATATCATTTTTGCCGATATTATTTATAAATAAATTATTACGTAATAATATTGGCAAATCATTTAGGTATTATTTTTATCAGTATTAATTACATAATTTTAAAATTCGGCGATGTTAAGGAGTTGTTAAGGAGGCATAGATCTTTTAATAAAAATAAAATGTAATAGACCTGTAATATCATTAAAAAAAAACTTTTTTTTATCAATCTATAAAAATCTAGATTCATTGCAAACTGTACCACTAATACAAAAATAGTAAATAATAGCATATCGGAATAAATATTAACATTACACCTAAAGATTTATTTAATTCATGTGCTGTATGGTACAAGAATTTGTTAACATCACATTACACTTAGCAAAATTAAAAATAATTAATGTGCTCAACGGCACGGAAATTCACTAGTACTCATATAATCGAGAGTTATAACCTAAAAATATAATAATACAAATAGTAAAATTAATTAAATATTGAATATTATATATCACATATTCAAGTCACAACATTATAGTTGTAACTTAATTAGATATTAAATATTATATATCACATATTTGTGATAAAATTAATATTATATATTACATATTTGTGATAAA